TGGACAAAGGATTTCCAGAAGGTCATAGATCTGTCTCTTAGCTGTGCATCTCAGGCAGTGCTGGTGAGACAAACCTCTTTCTGTGGGAAATGTGCTTGGTGTCAGTGTCTGAAGGTACAGCGGGGACACACTGGCACTTCTGTGCTTCTTCTCTCCTGACTGCACAAGGTCCTCAGCAACCTGCTCTGGGCAGGAGCCTTTATTCCAAAAGTCCCTTCCAACCTCAGCTGTTTTGAGATCTCTTCCATGCAGGATCCTCTCCTCCCAAAACAACTTACTAATTATCAAGTCCTTTCCCAAGATTTCATTTGCACCTACATGCCTGACAGCTGTGCTACCTTGGCACTTGATTGAGGAATGAGGAGAATGGGAAGAACAGGGAGTTAGAGGGAGTAACAGCTTTTCTCAAGGTCTTTACCCTCACTGCTGGAGCGGTGAAACCATCCACATAATAACAGCAAACCCTTAGCAAACAGCCTGGGCAAAGCAGAAACACAGAGAAAAAGGCAGCAAGAAGTGAGGCAGTGTGTAGTGAAGCATGGGACTCTTATCACAGCTGCCCTAACAAGATCAGTGCCTAATAGCTTTGATACTATTCAGTTTCATATCTATAGCTGGAATATTAACATTACACTGATTAAGATCTTCTGGCTTGGTTCTCTTTAAATAAAATAAACTTTGGAAGAGCTGTATGAAGCTTCTTGGAAAAGGTGAACATGTTTTTGGTAAATGCTTCAGTTTGTTTACTCTTCACTTGTGATGAGCTTCTTGCAGAAGTTAAAAGCCCTTTGTGTACAGCTGAAGGTAAGATGTGACTTAAGTGTCAGATGTCTTGCAGAAAGGTGGTTCAGTTTCATATGCAGGTAGGGAGTTCAGTACATCCATGTTTCCATTTTACAGGAAAGAGCAGAAGCTTGTTATGCTTTGAAAGAAGTAAAATCATCAAGGTAATATATCTAGCTTTTAGATGGGATAAGTTTTCTGTTGGTTTGAGAGGTAAGTCAGTGAGAGTAGTGGCTTTTCCATGATTTGCAGGGTGGGAAGAGTGAAATAAAAGCTCTGTTGAGGACTGGAGGAGTAGTAATTTGATATATATAGATATTTATTATTATTTTTATTTTTTTTTTTTGAGACAGCATTTCATTCATTGATTTTTGAGGTTGGAATTCTGAGGGAGACATCTGTGGCTCTGCAGGCAGTCCTTCCTTTGCAAAGCCAGACATGCACCTTATGACTCTATTTGAAATTCAGTGAAGAGTTTTGAGGCTAAAGCAAGTTGTGGGGGTGAAGACACTGGTTTAACCTTTTTTCTTTTTTTTTTTTTTTATTGTTAACTTGTTAGTAGTTCACTTGTAAAGCACAGAGAAGAGTTTCTCAGTTACTTTGAAATTCTGTTTCGCTAGGTAGGATGAGAGTCTCCAGTGTTTTGGAAGTGCTGAGTGACAAGGCTTTATCTAGGGTACATGAAGTACCTTCTCTACTGATCTTCAGTCACACTGTCCTGTACAACTCACATCAGCAGTGATTAATGGCTCTGAAAAAAAAGAAGATAAATCCATTAGTTACAGATCCTATTTTTAATATGCAAAACTATTTTATACTCTAGCCAAGGAGCATAATTTATCTCTTGTGTGTTGCTTTGTAGTCAGCTAAACAAGATTGGGGCCCAGGCATTGGCATGTGCCTATTGATATTGAGGCTAAAGCAAGTTGGGGGGGTGAAGACACTGTTTAACCTTTTTTTTTTTTTTTTTTTTTTATTGTTAACTTGTTAGTAGTTCACTTGTAAAGCACAGAGAAGAGTTTCTCAGTTACTTTGAAATTCTGTTTCGCTAGGTAGGATGAGAGTCTCCAGTGTTTTGGAAGTGCTGAGTGACAAGGCTTTATCTAGGGTACATGAAGTACCTTCTCTACTGATCTTCAGTCACACTGTCCTGTACAACTCACATCAGCAGTGATTAATGGCTCTGAAAAAAAAGAAGATAAATCCATTAGTTACAGATCCTATTTTTAATATGCAAAACTATTTTATACTCTAGCCAAGGAGCATAATTTATCTCTTGTGTGTTGCTTTGTAGTCAGCTAAACAAGATTGGGGCCCAGGCATTGGCATGTGCCTATTGATAAATTGTTGCTGAAGTTTTGGCCTTGGTAAGCTACTGCTTTCCTAAAGGATGCTTGTGTGTGAGTCAGGAGTCATTTGTAGCAGTGTGGATACCACCCTCTTCCTTTTCTGCAAGTCAAGAATGTACCTGTAGCACACAGGCACTATGATGCCGTTTAGTCCCTGGGCTAGGGAGTTGTCTTTTCTTAATGGAGTGTTACAGAATGTGTGTCCAGCCCCTACAGGGTTATAGTACCTCTAATTCTGTTTTTTAATAGGGGTGTTTGGATGTGTAAGACATGTTTATAGCAACTGATAAGCCCCCAGTGTAATCTTTTTTTAATTAAAGAAGTTCACCTAAGGGTTGTTCTCTCCTGCTTGTTTCAGGAGGACACTTGTCCAGGTAATATTTCTTTACTGCTTTTTCAGACAAGACCCAGGAAGGCAGATCTTCCAAATCTGTGGCAGCTTTCACTAAACCAAATTCCAGCCCAGGATTTATAGTAAGCAAGATTTTCCTGCTCTACTTTTGAGAAGAGAGGAGAAACAAAACCTAAAATTACTTAGCTTTCTTTTCTTTTCTAAAAAGTACAGGGCAAAAGAGGGTGGAATGATCAATATTCAACTTCTGCACTTTTATTTATATCTAATAACTTTTAAAAGCTCTAGCTGTAAAAAAAACTTTTGGAGTGACTCTAGAGAGAATGACTGCATCAGGCTGGATTCAGACAGTGTTTATTTCCCTTAAACCTTCTGTTTTCTGTTGGCTTGTTCAGGGCTTCAGAGGTATTTCTGCAGTAGCAAACACCAGGCTCACGGAGTTGACAAATATGACTCCTAGTGACAATGCAATTTTTACCACAGATGCAATAAAATGGGAGTTTAGTGAGTCAGTTTAAATGTTTTTAAGTAAGAGGGCCCAGTCATCATTGTAGCACCACTTGTTCCTTTCAGGTTGTGCTTTTTAGCCTTTTCAGGGTTTGAATGAGTACGTGGTTGAGATCCCTCTGCAGTTATTCAAGAAGGATTTAACAAATGGTTTCATTTGTTGGATATAAGGCTAGTTTGACCATCCTGATGAAAGAACCTTTTTTTCCCTTGGCTTTTTGTACCTATGCCAGCTGTATTTACAACCACCAATGTGACAGAAGTCAATAGTTAATTTTATCTTCATAGTCCTAAAAAAATTCTGGCTTTCCATCCGTGGCAGCCAGGTGTTCAGAATTCAGCCTGTCAGAGTGAGCTAACTGCTTGGGGTTTTTTTCTGCAGTACATTCAGAACTTCTGCTGCTTCCAGGCTGCACACAAAGGGCATCCACCAGCAGCAGTTCTTTACACTCCTGTTGAGGTCCTAGCACTGCAGCTCCCGTGTCTCTCTGTAACAAGAGACTTGGAAAAAAAAACAAAAGGGAAGGCTTTGCTAGAGGAGTGACCTGCATGACATGTTATTTTAACTGCTTGGTTTTGTTGAAAACCTTTATGGCCAACACATCCATCACCATCCTGCCCCTCTACTCTGCCTTGGTGAGGTTGCACCTCGAGCCCTGGGTGCAGTTTTGGATGCTGCAGGATGGCAAGGACATGGAGGCACTGGAGAGGGTGCAGAGAAGGGCAACTGGTCTGATGAGGGGTCTGAAGAACAGATCTGATGAGGAGAGGCTGAGGGAGCTGGGGCTGTTCATTTTGGAGAGGAGGAGGCTGAAGGGAGACCTCATTGCTCCATACAACTACCTGAGAGGGGGTTGTAGAGAGGAGGTGTGTGTTGGCCTCTTCTCCCTGGTAACCAGGAACAGGACAAGAGGAAATGGGGTCAAGCTGTGCCAGGGGAGGTTCAGGCTGGATATTAGAAAGAATTTATTCACTGAAAGAGTGGTGAGACATTGGAACAGGCTGCCCAGAGAGGTGGTGGAGGCATCATCCCTGGAGGTCTTCAAAAAAGAGGTAGATGTGGTGTTTCATAAGATGGTTTAGTGGTTGGGGGTTGTAGGGTGGATCAGCCAGAAGAGAAAGGGGAAAGCTTAGGGGTGAGTGCAATTGCCTTTTGGGAGTTTACAGAGAAGGTGGTCCAGACTGTTTTGAATACCTTTTATTAAAGAAAGACCACAACAGATGGTAGAAAAAATTGTCCGTAGGTGAAATGTTGGGATCTCAAAACTCAGCTGGGCAAGCTGGAGTGACCTGATCTAACTGGGTTAGATCAGAACCCCAGAGGTTCCTTCCAACTCAGAGCAGGTTTCTGATACCTACTTAAACCTTTCTCAATCCCAGGTTCTGTTCCTAGTTGAGCTACCTCACAAGGCACAGCTTCCCATGTTATTTAGATCTCCTCTTGTTTATCTTTGGATACTTTAATAGTCTTTTCCAGATCATCACTTAAAGACAGATTACTTTTCTTACCCACATTTTGCTCTGTGAAATGTGCAGATGTCCTCCCCTGCTCACTTTGGGCTCTCTGTTGGAATAGGTTGTGTTTTCAGGGACATGGCAGGGATAATTGCTCTTCCCTTTGTTTTCTCAGAAGAAGGGGTGTGTTTGCCTGTGACATGTGCATTTCCAGTCATATAAGCTAGAGGATTCTGAGGTTGTGATCATAGTACTTAGACACCTACAATGTGAAAACTGTAGAGAATTCCTATAATTGTATAGTAAGTAATGTTACTATTTACTTACTATTTTTTAAAGATAAATACATTTGTCTGATTTGGACTATTTGCAGGCAGGGGAGGGAAAAAGCTTTAGACTGTTTCCTTTTGTCACATTTCATTTTCCTGCAAAATGGTTTAGATCAAGCTACAAAAGGAACAGTTTGCTTTGTTGCCTTCACTGCTCATTGACATAAACATCGAATGTAAAATGTTTCCTTCTTTTTCACACAGGTAAATAGCAAGATACAGAGAATGGACACTCAATTATTTTCCCCACTGTTAGGAGGAATTACTAGTACTCCACCTCCTCTAGGATCTTCCCATCTGTCTAGTGACTGGGCAGCAGGTGGAGAGGAAATCAGCTCAAAATCTTCATTTCAAGACTGCACAAAGGAAAGGTAGGAGCATCCTTGGGATCACCTCATGGTGGTGCTCTGTAACACTGAAATTGTTCCTGAGCAGAAGACATGAGATTCCAGATCTTTATAGGAAGAGTTTATGGGATGACTAGAAACTCGTGACATTTTCTTTGCTGTGTCATAGTTATTGTAGAGCTTGTGAAAAAAGGTAGAGGTTGTGTGTGTAGAGATGTGTATTTTTGCATGTGAAAACCCTTTAAAACTTGGAGAGAATACTTTTTTTAGGGAATGAAACGCAAAACTGCCATATGTAATTGAAAACTCCTTAAGGAAGAAAAAACCCCACTCTCCTGTGGCTCCCATCCCTCTGTACCCATGTGGAGCTCATACTGATCCTGCTTCATAATGTAGAGTGTTTCCTGGAACATGTACAATGCAGACTGTTAGACATAGGTTGAGTGTGGTATCTCTGACACTGAAAGCATAAATACACATTCAGCTACTCCTGAAAATATGCCAGCCTGCTGTCCTTCTGTCCCATTAAAATAATGCACTCAAGTTTGATTTTTGTATTAAAAAAATGATGTTAGCAGTTTAGGATGCTAAGGGTTCTATTACTTGAGTCATGGAGCATTTTTATTCCTCTGGAGAAATCTGCTGTGCTCAAGTCTTGACTATTGCAAGCACTTCTGATCCTCCAGGCTTAATAATGCAGGAGAATGATTAAAGGTACAGAGGAGGGCAACAAGGCTGGGCAGGGGTTTGAAAGCTTCCGTGTCACTGGAGAGTCAATAAACTTACTCTTTCATTTCAGTAAGTCTGTTCTGCAGAGGAGTGATTTCTGTAAAATCATGAATGACACAAGGATTGTGAGGAACAGGGAATGGCACTGGCCTTGAACAAGTGACTGCCCTAAGAAATTGTCAAGGATTCAGGTTCTCCTGCCTTGAATTGCCTTGTAGTGCTTCTGGTATATGTACCTGAAGGAGGAGCTTGAAAGCCTTATCTTACTTCTGTCTAACCTTTACCATTTATTTGGGCAATTTTAGATTTGCTACTGTCCTGTGCTTGTTCTTTCCTAGGATTTTTATTTTTTTTTCTTTTCCAGTCCACCCAGCTTCCTGCTGCCCTGTCTGCTGTCCTGAAATGGCTAGCAATTCTGTTTTTAATTTCCATGCCACATAGTAAATTGTCTCCCTTGCTAGAAATCATTATCTAGGTGGAAGCTTGGATCTGTGATCTCCAGAAATTTGAGTGAATAGGCCTCTTTTGGTCACAGAAATTGGAAGTAAATAGGCCTCTTTTTAGAAAAAAATAGTAAATTGCCATCTGACAGAGAGACCTGCTTATCAAATATCAGTTACAGCCCTACATTCATAAAACATTTTCAAGAATCTTTGCACTTACATATATCCTAAACAAAACCACATGGACCAAATACATGGTCATGAAGTAAAGAACAGAGGTAGTTAGAAGTCAAAGTGTGGTGAGGTTGTAAAAGGCAGAAGTGGCTGATTTTTGCTGTGGCAAGAGATTGCCAAGATGACAGCCTTAATAATGTAGCCCACATTTTATAGTTCTGTTAATCTGCAAAATCAGCACGAGCAGCATTAGCAGATGTTGTAGTTGTTTGGATAAGCTGACACCAAGGATTTCTGAGAGGTCTTCAGGGACACAGAAACACATCAGCTGAGAACAGGATGATGAGTGAAATTTATTGAAGCAAAACATCGCATGGTAGGGGGAAGGAGCTCTTAATTGTTATGTTTAAATTAGTTTCTGAGTAAGGATTAGGTGGCATTACAGACAGCTCTGTGAAGATCTCCTTTTGCACCTAAAGTAAAATATAGAAGTTGGGCTTCTGTGAGAGTAGTGATGGTTGAACACCTTTGGTATTTAACAGGAATATTTAATAATGTGACCATCTCCTTTCTAAAAGGTGATTAAAAGTGGTTCATTTAAGTCTAACTTAATTTTTCTGAGATGAAAATAGGTAGTTCTTGAGTAATGAAAGCAGATAAATTAGAATCCTCAAGAGTTTGAGAAGATTGATCATATTTACCCTCTAAAGGAGAACAGGCAAGAGATGAAGAAATATCTTTAAAATAGTTATGGTGATTGAAAAGGAAGAAAAATCTTTTGCTGCTTGTGTCTCTTCACATAACAGCTTGAGAAGTCTCTGGTGAAGCAAGAGCTTAGGATAGAATTTAGGATATAGAATTCATGACTGCAGGAGAAGATTTCTATATATGGATGCTGAGAACACATTAAATCCAGAACACTTAGCAAATGCTGCTAAAGTAAAGGCTTAATGGTTTACTTTTCATTTTGTCTGTTCTATTTAGGAGAACAATACTTTTATTTATGCTTTTTAAATTATTTTTTTTCAGGGCTCCAATAAATCTTCCTTATTCTGGCAATGGCCCTGATATGTTTGGTCTAGTGTCAAGCATTTTGGAGGAGCCAAGCAAGCCAGAAGCAGTTACAGATTGGTGAGTTTGTTCTGAAAGATCTTATATCATAGAATCATAGAATGGTTTGAGTTGAAAGGACCTTAAAAATCATCTAGTTCCAAACCTTATGTCCCCTTGTCACACACATATGATAGACACTTTGAATTATTTCAGAGATGAGTTGAGTAAGGCCTCATAAATCCCCTTGAAATGTACAAGTGTTTCTCTTCACTTCAATTGCCAGGAAAAAAACAACAAAGATGCAACAATCTGTTAAAAAAGCAAATTTTTGAGTGTCTTTCATCAGCCTAGAGCTTTTTTGGGAGAAAAAAAACCCCACCAAACTGATTTTATCCAGAAGGGAGCTGACTGAATACAGTCAAATCTAAAATATTTAATCCAAATCAACTCTATATTTCTGAGTTTAGTTAGTACAAGCACTAGAGACCAGCACTGGTGGTCAACTTC